TCTCCAGGCATATAGCAGAAAGGCCAATGCTGCATATCGACAACAATTTACAGAGTTAGTTAAGTACTCTATCTATATCTATTGAACACTTCTTCATAAATAGAGGGCAGGCCACACAAGAAAAGTGCAGAACGAGGAGGCGATCCATTACTTAATGAGAACTGTAAGGAACACAAATGATCAACAACTATATGATACTTTTACAACAGATACATGTCCTGGCAAGTTGCCCGCCAAAACTACACAGTATCTTGGGCTGCTTTTAACAAATATGAAAAAGTCAAGCTTACAACGCAAAAAGACAAACATAGAAGAGACAAACTAATCCTTCTTATTTACCTACCATGTAGTCCAGATAAAGATATAACAGTAAACCAACAGAATTCTTCAAAATTTCTAGGAATTCATTGGAGTAAGAGAACAGTGACCTTGTTACCCCCTAAGGAAGGCTCGATAAAGTAGTTGCACTACCACTAACATCACTCAACAACTCAGCAGCAGTTATACTCCTTTTTTTTCCAAGCAGCAGCTATACTATCAACTACACAAATCACCGTCCTAGACTGGGGCACTCAGCTAAACTAATGACCAAGAATAGAGAATTGACTAATTTTATGTAATGTATGTGTGTTTAAACATATAATGAGAAAAAAAAGGGGTGGGTGGGAAATGGTGATTCTATCAAGCTATACCATTCAATCATTATGTATACTCAGATGATATTTTAGGTATATTATTGACCTATCCCATGGCTTAAGATTGCAATTTCTAGATCTCAACCTTAAGAATGCCGGTACTGCATAAGTCATAATCTATCTATGGACATAGATTGCCTGAATGAATACATTTGTTGTGTGGGTCTTTTCTTATCTTTTTCCTTTTTTTTTTTGGGGTGGGGGTTGAAGATTTGCATAATGTGTATTAAGGTAAATTTCAACAGTCAGCAAATACACATAGAAGTTTATCATACTGGTAGCACCCTACATCGTCAATTCACAGGGATTATCAAAGAAACAATGATAACAATTAACAAGACTGTTGCACAAAGCAGACAGTCCTGTAGTATAGTAAAAGAGGAGAACCTTAGAAGACTAGAACAAAAGAAACTAGTACAAAATATTAAGGTAACCGAGGAACCTATAATGGAGTGTAAATAGTGAAAAAAGATCCTCAAGGAAAATAATAATGACAAAGCAGAGCACGGCAATGAGATTGTATCATGCGATTGACTTTGTTTAGGGTTGACTGTTGCGACCACTTTTGACTGATGTATTTTGTAATTATGTAAAGTTCATTTCCTCCTCCTGGCGCTTTTCTAATAAAATCTTATTTACTAAACAGAAACAGAAGAGAGGCTAATAGAAAAATCCTTCAGGCTAAGAGGACTTGAAATGTCTATAATTTCCATTTTATATGGGAGTTAACCACAACCAAACAAGAGGATAAGTAGTTAAAGTTACCATTATTATGCTATTATCATAAGCCATAGGACTGCTACTAGGACATAACAGCATTTAATATTATAAAGATTGCGATATTTTTGCTTCATTCAAATAAGAGCAGTGTTCGCTCAGACTTCGTCCATTCCGCAGAATGATCTCTACTCTCATCTCAATATTCCCTCTATGAATTCTCCTACTATCACAACTAGGAAATAATATAAGTTGAAACATCAACCATTCAAACTAAGTGAAACAGAGAAACAAAAGCTGACTTCTTTTCTTTTTGTAAGGGCACTCCAATTCTCATACAGCAATGCGGAAGTTAGAGTACAATCAGACTACAAACATAGTACTAGTTTTCACAGGCATATCAATCAATCAACTAGGCATACTTGGGGTTGACTATATGAATCATTTTTATCCGTTCAGCTTTATTTGGGGCCAATTTCATTCCAAAAAATACTAAGAAAAACAGAAAAATCAAAGCTGATTTCTTTCTTTTTGTAAGGGAAATTGAATTCTCATACAGCAATACCAAAGCTAGAGTACAATCAGACCACCAACATACAAGTTAACAGGCATATCAATCAATCAACTATGCTTACTCGCGGTCGAATACATGAATCATGTATATCCATTCTGCTTTATTTGGGCAAATTTTATTCCAAAAAAAAGAGTACTAGTCTCTCCATCCCAATTTTATGTATGATGTTTGACTGGGCATAGTTTTTAAGAAAGAACCAAACGCTTTTATAACAAGCCATAGATACTTGTGTCCCAATTGATCATGAGAAGTTTAAAGTTAAACTATTTCTAAATATAGAAATATATCATTTTTTAAGTCAAACTAAAAAGGAAAGAGTATCACATAAATTGAGACAAAGGGAGTATATAATAGACCTCTCTTTAACAGTCATCCTCTATAACAGTTCACTATAACAACCAAGTTTGCTTTGGAACCAATTTGTCATGTTATGTTATAGTATATGTTATCTATAACAGCAGTTCACTATAACCACCAAAAAATATCGGAACAAACGATGTTGCATAAAGAGGTTTGATTGTATATAATAGACCTCTCTATAACATACATCCTCTATAACAACAGTTCACTGTAACAACCAAGTTTGCTTTGGAACCAATTTTTCATGTTATGTTATAGTATATGTTATCAATAACAGCAGTTCACTAAAGCAGCCAAAAAATATCGGAACAAACGGGGTTGCATAAAGAGGTTTGATTGTATATAATAGACATCTCTATAACTGTCATCCTCTATAATAGTTCACTATAACAACCAAGTTTGCTTTGGAACCAACTTGTCATGTTATGTTATAGTATATGTTATCAATAACAACAGTTCACTAAAGCAGCCAAAAAATATCGGAACAAACAAGGTTGCATAAAGAGGTTTGATTGTATATAATGGACATCTCTATAACAGTAATCCTCTATAATAGTTCACTATAACAACCAAGTTTGCTTTGGAACCAATTTGTCATGTTATGTTATAGTATATGTTCTCTATAACAGCAGTTCACTATAGCAGTGAAAAAATATCGGAACAAAGGAGGTTGCTATAAAGTGGTTTGATTGTACATACCTATGAACCAAGGCCATCTAACAGGATTATCAGGAGCTTCTTTGGTCAAATACCTGAATCTATCCGGCATTGTGCTCTCTCCCCTAGCCTCATTTTCAGCTTTCTCAACATTTTTTCCATTCTCAGCTTTCACAATAAACCCATTTTTCTTAATTAACGAAAATCCACAATTACTACCAAAAAGCCCGGAATATCTTTTTTGGGTCAATTCTAGTTTGAAAGGTTTAATTCTGGTTATAGATAAGGGAAAAATTATATTCTGATTACGAGGGCAAGCATTTAAAGGAAAATGTGAGGAGGAGATTTTATGGAATTTATTGAGAGATGGGATTGAAGATGAGAGAGCTGAGAGTGTAATCGACATTGTTTTTGGAGGTCGGAGAAGTTAAGGTTTTGGAGTTTTAGACTTCAGCCATTGCTAGAAAATTGGTTACTCAGAAGAAGAGTGGGGGTTTGGGGTTTTGCAAAATTCGATAACCCGAAGAGTCCGACCCGCAATCAATTCATACAGGAAGAAATTTAAAATTCGCCTAATGTATAACTACAAAATAGCCCTTGCTTTAAAATTAATCAAAATTTAAATTTTTTTTTTTTATATTTGGTAAGTAAATCTGGACAAAAATATCCTAAATTAAGATTCAAAAAAATATCAACATAATATGTTGGAGTTCCAACTTCTTACACTTCAGCATAATATGTTGGAGTTCAAAATAACTTGTATGTAAATTTCAACATAATATGGTGTAATTCGCATTCAAAGTATTTTTAAAGTTTGAGCTCCAGTATAATGCGCCGAAGTTTTATATGCAAGAGTTTCATACTCTAGCATATTATGCTAGATTTTTTCCGTATTTACTAAAGGTAAATTTTGTTCAAATATTATAAAATATTGAGGTTTTTAATAATTTTACAAATGCTAGTTATTTTTTAATTATCAAAATCCAAAAACTAACTAGCTTATGCTATTTTGACATTCCTAAAGGAGTATATTTGTAACTTTCTTTCCGGGGTATTTGTAACTGAGTTATTTTAAAAGGGGTCGTTTGTAATGTTGGAATTCATAATTCCTAGATTATTTAACAGAATTGTTTTGTTTGATTCAAACGAATTAAAAATAAAAGATGCAGTATTTGGTTTGAAGCTGAACAAACATGGACAAAATTTTATTTTCAATTTCAACATTTGATATGGTAATGAAAAGGGCATTTGAGGGCTAAAATTGTCATATTCATATCTTTATCCGGGGATTACTAATGATGATATTACTTATCATTACTTATTCTACATTGAATTTAGAATAATATTAATATTTTGGTAAAAATAATAATAAATTCAGTGAAATTTTACAAGCGGAGTCTGAGTAAGTTAGATAGAGGTAAAGATTTATATCCAAATTAGTTATTCCTTTATCTCAATTTATGTGTTACTTCTTCCTTTTTCATATGTCCCGAAAAGTATGACATCTTTTAATATTTAAAAACTATTTAACTTATTTTAGACCATAAATTTCAAAAAAAATTCTTTTCTTTCTTATGCTTCATGATTGGTCAAACGATGCCACATAAATTAGGACGAATAGAGTAATACGTAAACAATGAATAAATAGAATCGCATATTTTATACCGAAATTAGAATTCTTGTCTCACGCTATCCAAACGCCTCCCAAGGTGTTTAGTGTAATTTAACCTTTTTTATACTCCCTCCATTTTAATTTATGTGAACCTATTTCTTTTTTAGTGTGTGTCAAAAAGAATGACCTATTTGCTTATTTGGAAACAATTTAACTTTATGCAATAATTTATAACCACATAAAATATATGTTTCTCATTTTACACCATAAATTTAAAAGTTTATTCTATTTTCTTAAATTTCGTGTCCAATCAAATAGGTTCACACTAATGTATTATAAAATATCCCACTTTTACCAAAATTCTCTTCAACAACTAGGTTCTTGTTTCTCCCTCTTTCAAACTGATCAATGACTGATTCTAACTCCTACTTTCCTCCTGATCTTTTGATCGAAATCCTGCTAAAACTTCCTGTAAAATCCCTGCTCCGTTTCAGAGCTGTCTCCAAATCATGGAATTCCCTTATCAGCAGCCCTGCTTTCATCTCCACACACCTCAACCAAACCCCCAAAACCTCCACCCTTCTTCTTAGGCGTTACGATAATACTCACAATAAAGAATATTATTCACTATTTCAAGACTGTAAAAATCGACCCTTTTGCTTGGATTTCTCATCACAACTGAATTTGCCATTCAATTGCCAACTTGGGTATTTCAGAATAGTTGGCAGCTGCAATGGAATCATGTGTTTGTGTGATGATTTTTTTGCTGACGTAGGGAATGTAGTTGTAATTCTATGGAACCCTTCTATTCAAAAGTTTACAACTTTACCCTTGCCTTTAATTAGGTTTAAGTCACCCGACATGTTTGTACTTGGATTTGGTGCTGATCATTTGTCTAATAATGATGATGATGATTACAAGTTGGTCAGACTTGTGTATCATAAGAATGATGATGTATTTTCTAGGTATAATGTTCCTCCTGAGGTTGAAATTTATTCACTCAATACTGGGGTTTGGAGGAGAGTGATAGGAGCTGAGATTAAGCATTGTATGGTGGAGTTTATGTGGTCTCAGGCATTTGTGAATGGAGCTGTCCATTGGATTGCATATGATGTGGGCGAGAATGGTGGTGTTCGGAGTTTAATTATGTTTTTTAGTATAGCTGATGAGGTGTTTGGGGATATTATGCTGCCGGATGCTTTAGCTGGTCAAATTGCAACGAATTTATCGATCATGGTGTTTGAGGGCTCCCTTGCTGTTGTTAAGTATGAGAGGGAGATAGATGGTGGTTCATGTGAAGTATGGGCGATGAAGCAGTACGGAGTTTTGGAATCTTGGAGTAGATTTTATAGTATAAATTTGGATGATATGGAGAGAGTAGTTGGATATAGGAATAATGGTGAAGTTTTGTTTTCAACTAGGAGCTATGAGCTGGTTTCTTATGATCCAAATAGTGGACACAAGAAGGATCTTGGTATTCGTGGGAGTTCCCGCTCGTTTTATGTTCAAAATTACATGGAATCGCTTGTTTTGCTTCAAGGGGATAGTGTAGTTTCGGATGAGTTCTTGGAAGGAATTGGAAGTTTATGGATTGAAGACTAGCTGGACTATAGAACTTCTTGGTGCAAGAAAGAAGAACATGATTAGAAGGTAAAGTATTTTACCAAGTTCAATCGACATGGGATGTCGCTCTGCTAATTCTGTTTCATGGCATAGTGGAAGTGTAAGATGTTTTATCAAATTTGGTTCAACTAGTTTAGAGCTATCTGATAATTATGACATATTGAATGATGAACTTTTGCTTTCCCATTTGTTGCCTTATATTAGTTGTTAGTGCACTCTTGTTGTTGTTTTGATGTATTTCTCGTTTAATTATTGTGATTTCAATCAAGCGACGGACCTCAGGGGCAGAGCCAGCTTTATAGCTACGGGTTCGGCACAACTCAATAGTTTATAGCTACGGGTTCGGCACAACTCAATAGTTTTGGCTCAAACCCTGAATTTGTGTTGAAAAATTTATTGAATATTGTATAAATAGTCTATTTAGATCCCAGTAAGTAAAAAAGATTATGGTCCAGAACCCATAAACTAAAGGTCCTAGCTCCGCCTCTGACGGACCTTGTTTTTTCTGTAGTCAACTTAGTTGCAGAGACCTTGTCGTTTTCCGATTAGCATTTCTAATTTCATATCTTCCCTGAAGTAAACACCTATACAGACCAAGTCTTGTCCCATTTGCAATGCCTTCTAGTTCTCTATGTGTTGATTTTGCTTTTCACTGTTATATTTTGAGCTATATGTGGTTAGCCCTTTAATATTTACCATGTTCGGCACCCCCTTTGACCCATAGTTGCAGGCGATGAGGCTTTCTGTCTCATCGATAGCACTTGAATGACAATTTGCCTAATGTGAGCACCTAATTTTTTACCGTGCTTGAATATTTCCCGCTCCCATCTTCCCATACTTGTCCCCCATGCTTGTCCCCCCACACTTTGTCCCCTCTCCACTTTTCCTTGTCCCCCATGCTTGTCCCCCACTCATAAACCTCATACCTCATTTTTAGCTATTAAAACACACACTTTTCAGACAAAGAAAAAAAAAGGACGGATCCCTCCTCCTTTACAAAAACCCTAGCAGCCCTCTGCTTTCTAGAAGGGGAAGACCTTTCTCCCATTTTTAAGACCCTAGCCGCTGCCCATTTTTTTTTCTCTGGAGGATATAAGCTCATTCTGACCCCATTCACACGGATCTCTACTCTCATACAGATTCATGCTGAATTTTCACTCTCAATTCACACACAGATCTCACACGAAGGAGCAACTGAAAATACTCCAAATACCCCAAAAATATCAAGTTTAGATCTGTAGTTCTACGGTTTGAAAAAATAGAGGAAAAAGTGAAAGAAAAAGGGATTTCAAAGAGCTGTTGGGTTTTCTTGATAATTTCTAGGATTCTAAGAGTGGTCATCTCTCAAAAACATTGTTGATTGCTGTTGGAATTTGCTGTTGACTGCTAAATCTGTAGCTGAACTCTAATTTGCGGAATTAAGCCTTTATTTGGCTACCCTTTCTTCTAAATTCAATTCCTTCGTAATTAGGTATGTATTCCTTTAAACTGTGTTCAGATTTGCTATGATATGTAATTGTTTTTATTCTCCGGCTCATTTGCTGTTCTTAATCGAAGCTATGGTCGGTTTAGACCTCATTTGCTATTGCTATTAGAACCTATCTGTTTTGACTTAGCTTTCGCTGCCGGTAAACTCAACTAGAATAAGATTTCTGATTGAGTTTGATTTCCTGAACGTGAGCCACTTTATTGTATTAGCTTAATTCCTTTTTTTAGTACTGTCACATGCTGAAATGAAACTTGCATAATCAGTTGGGTTGAAAGATCAGTGGCTCGGTAGTTGTTTATTAGCGTAGTAATCATGTATTGATACCGGGAAGAGTTCATGTTTAAGAGTTGGCCTCCATAGGAATCAACAAAGGCAGAATCGAGATGCATAACTTTTTGGGAATTGTTTGTTACTGAAAATGGCTGTCATTATATTGTTTAGATAAGGCTATCTTTGTAACAGGGTGTAGGCATAAAAGTGTGAGTCAGTTGGTTATTAATTTTGTAAGTTAAATAGAATGGATTCTGATTTTGTCTTTCATGGTTATGTATGCATTTTATCCATGAATGAGTTAATTTCATATTTTCTTATGGATTAGAGTTAGAACATGTTGCAGTAGTTTAAGACTTGGGGCCTTATTTTGAGCCTATCTACGCTTATGCCTGATTTGTTGGAAGTTTGAGCGTAGAGGCATGCAGAGATTTGACCCTTAATAAATTATTTCATCCTTGTACACTTTATCCGTTACAACTTTCATAATCCATGGCCTTACAATAATCTCAAATTAGTATAGGATGAACTACTGGAACATCGTTAGAGCGATTTAAGCGCGTTTTAAATTTATTATCGTGATTATGTACATGTTCGCGTGACATGATTATGATTCCCAAACTAAATCAGGGTAAGCGTTCGCGTGACCTTGACCAAACAATCTTGATAATAATAAAGTGTTATTAATTGTGTACACGTATGTGTGACATGGTTTTGGCACAATGAACAAAACGGATCCATACACGTGATTCGTTTCAAAGATAATTCCATATTTTAATAATTGAAAGCGGATAGATAAAATATGGAAATCAATAAATCACAGTTTATCCAAAATTAATTCAAGCCAAGTTGTAGTCAATAAAGCGACCGTACTAGAACCACGGGACTCGGGGAATGCCTTACACCTTCTCTCCGGTCAACAGAATTTCTTACCCGGACTTTGTTTTCGCAGACCAATAATAATAGAGTCAAACATTCCTTTGACTAGGGATTCAAATAAAAGGTGGCTTGGAACACCCAAAAACTCAATTCCAAGTGGCGATTCTGTAAATAAAATAGTCCTTACTCAAGTTTGTCACTTTAATTGGAAAAACTCTTTAACCTACAACAATTCATAACACATGTCTTTTTGGGGTGTATTAAAGGGGTGTGACACCTAAAGTATATTTGATAGGTGGGTTAGTGATCTATTGTCTATTTTCATCTTCTTGAGCCCGAGAGTTTATCGGAAACAACCTCTCTACTCCTCCGAGGTAGGGGTAAGGTCTGAGTAGACACTACCTTCGTCCTTCCCCATATCCCATTTGTGAGATTTTACCGGATTGTTGTTGTTGTATATTTTGATAGGCGGAATAGCCATACTTCTCCCTGATACCGAAGTTGGCGTATAATTTAGCTCAATCCAGAAGATAGCCCTGTACAAAATCAGTGCTGCAAAAAGTTAATAACATCTATCTTCTTTTCCTCATATACATTTTTCAAGTTTGGACCAAAGGGCCAAAAGTCCTTAGTATCTTAAGTATGCTCTACTGTGACCTTGTCTTCAAAGTATTTTCTATTTTGCTCCATATCTTCTTGATACATTTTGCTCTCTTGAAACACCACAACAGCTAAACGGGTCCTTAATTGGAGTTGGATGAATCCTCTCTGTCGTTTCTGCTCGTTGTGGAGGAAATGGAGTTTGATTTAGTTGTTCTTTTCATGCAAAGAGTTAATAAATCACCTGGTGTTGTATGAAAGGTAAAGGGAATTAGTATCAACAGTCTGAGAATGAAAAGAATTAAGCTGACATATATTAGATGAATTATAGCAGCGAGCTGTTATTCATCTAACATCTTCACTTCAAATAATCTTCAGAATTTGAGAGAAACTCGGAAGCCTCAATTTACGCGACACATCAAACATATACATTGTATTTATCATTCGTAACTATACCTTAAGCAAATTTATCATTCGTAGCTATATTTGAATTTTATAGCAAATCCATGAAACAAGAGATTAATTGTTTTGAACTGAAACAAGAGAGCAAGAAGCTCTCGTAGCTCAGTTGGTTAGAGCACTTGCTTAGTTAGCGGAGGTCTTGCGTTCGACTCTCAATAAAAAACATTTTATTTTTCAGTATTTTTGTATTTTGCCTTGGTTATATTCGTTCAACGAATACAATCAATACATGTTGTATTCGTTGCGCGAACGAATACAGTTGACACAGGATGTATTCGATTGCACGTTTGAATACAAGTGATACAAGTTGGTAATAATTAAACAGTAGTTACGAATAGTAATTAGACAAACTATAGTTACTAGGCTCTAAACTGCAGAGGATTATGAAAATTCATCTTTATACTATCACTTAAAATTTCCTCTCATCTATACCTGTCTATTAAGGCTGAAGCATGCAGCAGAAACAACCCAGAGCAATGAAATACTAAAATATAATATCTAGGATTTGAACTCGTGATTTTGAACCCCTTTTACCATTACAATAACGTCTTTCTTATGTTGCAGGGATGCAACAATTAATCATTAATAATGTCATTTTCAAGCACTGGCAGCCTTTATTATTATTTAAATATAATATCGTCCAAGGTTTTAACAACATTCCTATTTATTTAGCATTTATATACCCTACTATTTTCTAATCAAATAATGAGAAAGTGCAATCAGGAAGAACAATTCTTTTTCTGGAAATGGATTTCACAGTCTTGTGCAATTTATGTCTTGCTTTTGACGTTTATATATTCACATACGGTTGTGTGCCAAATTTTCTGAAGAGATCTATCAACTGATTATTTTCGTTTGAATTCATCCATTCACTAACCAAGGTGATATATATCGCCATTTCAAGGCAATGCTAAATTTCCCATAATATTGATTTCCTATATGATTGACCAAACAACTAAATTTAATCAATGATGAAGTTGTATGTATTCTCAACTCCCCACACGCTGAATTTTCTGTCCACACCGAATTAGTAGGTAAAAAAGGTTGGCACCACAAAAGAGTTTGCTGGAATGATCGGGATTCATATACACTTAATGAGAGGTTTCGGATTTGAACCCTGAGAATATTAAAAATTTTTTGTAGGGAGTTTTTATTCTTATTATGGTCTAATTCAACACGAATTCAGATTACTTGAGCTGATAAATTTCGAATACTGAATAGTTAAAGAAAAGATATGGTCTATTCTTATTATGGTCTACTTCAGCGTGAAATTTATTGTAAAGATGAAAAATCATTGATGTGCAATTGGATTTTTCTACAACCACCTATTAGCTTTCAATATGCAGTATTGGCCTAATAATTCATGTACGATATCAGAAGCAATAATTTTTGTCACATGCAATATTTCTATATATTGATAAGCCAAACCTACTTTCTGTGTATCTTAACCAAAAGTTACAACAATGGCGTCTGTGATTGAGCAATGTCAAGTTGCGCCACCTCCCGGCAGTGCAGCTGAGCTCACACTCCCTCTCAC